GCGTGCAGTAGGGCACGAAAATAATGTACTTTGAACAGATTCAGTTACCATAAGTGAAAGCTTAAACTAAGAAATCCAATCACAATTCATTTCACATAATGGTTTAAGATAAAAGACGGGTAAGCACTAATATGTACTAGTTAAGCAGACCCAATAAAATGTAACAGTAATGGTTTAAGTAGAAACATATAGAACTGAATTTTCGCTCAGAGTAAATTGTTTTATCTTTGTAGCTTAGCTACTACATAAATTATATTCAAAAGCACGTTGTGCGCTAGTACCAATTGGGAATTATAAATGGGATAAAGCCCAAGACAAAAACGCGACATTAGGTAAGCACAAGGCCCAACAAACAATTTTCAAGGTTTAAAACTAATATTTTTTTAAATTTTTTTGTAAAACTAATTTTTGTCGTTAATAACACAGGAACACAAAATTAAACTTCATGAAATTTCCACGAACCATTTAATTAGATCAATAAATTTCATTGTGTGTTCAAAAATCAAATTCTTATCCGCAGTAAGTGTACATACGAAATAATAAGATTGCCCCCTCATTTCGAAGTTTATTTTGGTTTATATTATCATTTCACATGAAAAAGGCAAATACCTGTTTTCTTTATATGTATATAAAAGTGCAAAAAAAGGAAAACAAAGAAAAGAAAGCAAATCTCGTGCAAGTTAAAACCAAAAATATGTATCTCTATTATAAGTACATTATAATTCTCTTTTCCTCTCTGTATATCGCTCATGTTTTTTCAAGTCTCTTTCAGAGACTGTCGAAAAAAAGAGCTTTGAACTTGAATTTCATAGACCATGTAGACAAAACTACACGAGTGCGGTGTTTATGGTGCAAAATTATACGAATTCTTGAGTACTAGAGTGGTATGCGTAAGTGAATACACACAATCTTAATAGGTTTGTATAAAATAATTGCATAGACATAGTAGTGGTATAAGACATATAGTTTGTAGATGTACTCCGGAAGAAGAATGATTATTTGGTTTGCTTTCCATCTTCCTTGCGACATTCAAATCGCCAAATGTTGTCGGACTGGTTCCGCAAGCTCTGGCTCGCATGTCTCTCTTACTCCCCTTCTCATTCTATGTATCTCCCTAACTAGCCCTGGGAATTGGGTTGCTCCGAGTGCTTCGAAGCCCCTTTCATTAGATGAAAACCAGAGAAATAATGCTGAAACTTTTGGACACATGTGTACTATATCTATATCGGTTACTGTTATTCTCGTGTGCGATTCGAGCGTTTCAGTGCAAAATAATTAAGCTACAAATTTGCTGGAGGAGACCATAGAAAAATATACGGGAAAAATATATCTACTGTGAAGAGTTTCAATGGACTGAAGAGAACTGATAAAAAAAATGTCTCACACAGAAAAACAGAACAACCCTACTACCAATCAATTTTGGGAGGTGATTTAAGATTAATATATTGTCCTGAATAGTACAATTTTTTACCTCCACGAGTTATATACATATAAATGCGCTAAAACACTTCCTATGCTTCAGTAGATAAAATACAGATTATCTAAGCCACAGAATTACCCATCTTTCTCGTTCTGCGCCCACATGCAAGTGAAAAATTTGAATTTAATTGAATGCATCCTCATTAGAGAAGCAGACGAAATCATTTGTGAACGAGCAATTCAGGGCTGCCCTCCCCTGTTTAACCTCATTGCCGCTGATTTGATTTGATTATAACAAACATTTTTCGCACCCGACAGCTGTTTAGACTGCGAAATTGAAATTCCGCAATTGGATTGCCCATTTGAAGCTCCGATGCCCAGCCAAGGCCCCAGGCGAGGCGTCCCGACTACCAAAATCCGAGAGCATACCTAAAGCGATGAAGCCTTTCTGAGCTTCCTTCACGGTACTCTGCTATTTTTAGACAACTGGTTCACCGAACATATTTTACGGGCTGTAGCGCGAGGTTTATGTGCTTCTCATTGCTAATATCCCGCTGGATTTGTTTTCAGATTTGGAAGATTCGGAATTTTATCTTGAGAAGATATAGATACATTAAAATTTTAAATACAAAATACATACTGAGGAACAATTTAACTTTTTTGGGGTGTCCAGTTTTTTGATATTTTATAAAAAGTAAATAAATAAAGTAGGTATCTCGCATAATCTATCTTTCTTTCATGTTTTTATCACTAAATCACTACTAAACTTTTGATAAAAATCAAAAAAGTCTGTCAAAATATTAAGAATTTAACCGAATTCATTGTTTTTTTATTAATTATCATTATTTATATATTATCAATTTTAAAAAAAGCTAGCGAATTTTTTTGTTTTTCTTTTTGTACTGATTTGATGGATTATTTTTTGCTTAATAATCACTGATCATAAATACGTCTATTGTAAAAAATATATTAGTGATCATGTTGTTTTGCTTTTCAGCCAACGGCAAACAAATTTAAAAAATAAAAATTGTTTTTTTTTTTAATTTTTTATTTTGTTATATTATTACTTAAAACTGTAAGTTCTGAATAACAACAAGAAAACAAGTAATCAAACTTTAAATCTGTTTCATCTAATTCTTTCGAAAAATGCTTGGAATGCACTAATGATGAATCCAAAAAAAGCGTTACTATCACGAGCACATAGATAGTATGCTTGCATTATAATTATCCAAATCGGACTTACCTCAGAACGAATAAGCCGCACACTGAAAGTGTTTGCTTGGTGGGCGTCAACGTTGAGATTGCAAGCTGCTGATTATACAGTGGAGACACAAAGGGGAAATCATTTTTAAAAATACACCTTCTGCACTTGTCGCAAACAAATTAAGAACTTCAATGCGATAAAACAGATATATCACAATAAAATCGAACAAGGTGGCAGCACCAATACAGCGGCAGCAGCACACCAATACAAATGCGAGTGCTCCCCAAAGGGCGTCGCACGTCGTGATTGTGGATGTTTCTGTTTTGGAAAATATCTACTTTTGTCGTTTCCCCTAGCTGCTCGGGGTTTTACAATAATTAAAATATAACTTAGCAACTGAGTACAACGGATGCAATTGCGAGACACTCGCTTTTGTTGATGTAGTCGCTGGTTTTTCCACTTCCACTTTGTCAAGAACAGAGGAAAGAGAGAGGGAGAAGCAAAAAAAAGAGATGAATACCCCCCGCACACAGATATTAAATTCGTTTTTCAGCTCTGTGAATTAGCGAAATTCGTTTAAAACAATGCATCTGTATAAATTGTATGGCTCACTGCTTTGGCAACACTTTTTTTCATTATTTTTTTTACATTTTTCTGGTGAAAAGGCTCACACACACACGCACACCAACACTAAACACGCACTCAAACGACGCTGCTTACCAAAGACAGCTACAACAACAACAACGACTCGCTTTGTTCGCGTTTAATTTTGCAAACTCCAGGCGCTGGTAACAATTTTATTAGCTCGAATCAACGGGCAGAATTACTATGTATATTTTTTTTCACTTGTTTAATTGGCAGCAGTATTGCGATGATGCGCCACCCACGACCGAACCAGTGTGACCACAGCTGAACAGTGTGACCGCTGCGGAATCGTTTTTAAATACCAAGTCACGATAAATCACAATGTACCAGATTTAGTTTTATAAAAATACCCTTTCGACAACCCATAAAAATTGCAAAAATATTTTTGAGAAATTAAGAATTAGGGGAGATAGACCTCTATTTTTAAAGAATTTACATTAACAATTGAATTTTAAAGTTCCCGTTTTTGCAACAAAAATCAAATAGGATTTGCAGTCAGTTGCTGTTTAAATCATATACGCCTTTTCTTTGTTAAAATAATACAAAATCTAAAATTCCAGAAATTAAAGTAATTTGTTGTTATATTTATAGGGAACCAGTCCCTACAATAGCAAAATAATCCTTAATCTTAAGAAATAATAAAAAAAAAATTTAAAGAAAAAGCCCGCGATTATTTTTAAATACAACAATCTAAAATGACTATGTTTTTGGAGTAGTTCAGCAAAGAGATTACTTGCTCATAAGTTATGACCCATAGCAGGATATTAAAAAAATAATTGCCTACATTATTATTTATAACAACTCATTTAAAAATATTATTCGTTTATAGGAACTCATCACATCAAAAGTTTTGTTAACAAAATATTTAGAAAACATTGACAACGAAAAGAATTGATGTGGAATTTGTTTGTTTTTAAATAAATGTTGTATGCATGAATAACTGAGCCTTAACTACAAAGTCAAAATATATTTTCAACACTGATTTTGCATTTATAGAATTGACTTTTTCTTAAAAAAGTTCTCGGAATTCGTTTATAAGAACTCATCACATCAAAAGTTTTTTTAAACGAGGACGGAAGCTAACTTCGGCAAGCCGAAGTTTTAATACCCTTGCAGATTTTACGAATTAAAACTTGACTAGACTAGCAACATGAATTAATAAACAACAAAATATTTTATAATTGAAAAAATAAAATTTTAAAATTTTTCACCCTATTGTTCCTATGGGAGCTATAGGATATAGACGCCCGATCGGCACGCGCGTTTACCCTAATGAAGGTACGCACAAAAAAATACGATTTGGAAAGATTCATGCCAATAGCTCTTACACTGAGCGAAATATCTTCATTTTTGTGAAAGCTATATCCGATTGTTCCTATGGGAGCTATAGGATATAGACGTCCGATCGGGTCGGCTTTCAAACTTGATCTGCGTACACATGTTTTAGGACGACTGTGAAAGTTTCAAGGCGCTAGCTTTTAAACTGAGCTCGCAAACGGTATTGAAACAGACGGACAGACGGACATGGCTATATCGACTCCCCTATTGATCCTGATCAAGAATATATATACTTTATGGGGTCGGAAACGTCTCCTTCACTGCGTTACAAACTTCTGACCAAAATTATAATACCCTCTGCAAGGGTATAAAAAAATCTTTAAAAAAACGTTGCCAGCCAAAACAATTTATGTGGAATTTGTTTGTCTTTAAATAAATTTTGTATGCATGAATGCCTTAACAACAAAGTCAACATATATTTTCAACAAGGATTTTGCATTTATAGAATTGACTTTTGCTTAACCAAGGTCTCGGAACAGTTGAGGTGGACGAAGAGCACGGCAGCAGCTAGACGTGATTGCAGGTCCTGTTGGCTGAGATCATGGGCCCACTCCACGCGACCCCAGAACTTGAGCTGGTACTCCTCCTCCAGGCGAGCCAGGGCCACCGCCTTGTCCACGGTTAGCATCTGCTCCATGACGGCGCAGGCCAGGACAATTGACTTTAAAGTGTCCACCGCGTAGGTGTAGCCTGTTGGGAGATATTATTACTAGGCTAGTTTAACAATTGGCTTAAACCGTGTTACCATGCAGTGTTTCCAGGCTGTAGGAGTGAAAGTGCTTTGCGATCTTCATTTTATCCTCCTCGCTGACCTGAGGCGGCGTGATGTTCAGGGTCTTTTGCAGATTTGTCTCGAAGCGCTGGTTGAACCACTCGATAACCGGGTCCCACTCGTTGACCTGAAGATCCTGCAGGTCCTTTTCCTCCTGCTATATATTTTCATAACATATTAGTACAAAGCTAAATGATTAAATGATTTACCCACATCGTACTGGTACAGCACCGTATCGGTGGCGATGTAGTTGAGCAGGTAATTGACCATGTCCAACTTGTTCAGGTTATTGGGATTGTCGATGGCTGTGAAGCAGAGGGCGGACAGGTGCATCCGGGAGCGCTCGATGTGCTCCTTCTGGGCATCGAACTCCGTGGCCACTGCAATGGCCAGTGGTTCGCTTCGCACGACGAATGGAGCGCCCTTGGGCGTCTTCAGTTTCCGGTGGTCCAGGACCACCTCGAAGCCCCCGTCGCCGGTTAGCACGGAGGTCTTTTTGTAGAACCGCTTGGGCGCAGAGGCTGCAATGGAAAGACCGGCTTGTTATGAAATTGTTCGGCGTGGTGGGAGCACTCTATTAGCTCGATACCTACCGTACAGACGCACTGGGACGCTGATTCTGGCCGCCGGAACTTGCCACTGGCTACAGTGGCTCACCCGAAGGGCTCGAAGGGCATTCAGCAGCAGCTTTCCATTCATCTTGTGGAATTATATCTTTTTTGCCCTTTGCAGCTGTTGAAACTAGAAGATAATGGCAATCGATAGCACTATCGATGGTTGGTGACTATCATGGCACAATCGATTGTAAAAAAATACCCCCCGCCATAGCGCCAAAAATTATTTAGGGGATTCCCTTTTAACCGCCTACTAATAAAACATAAATTATTTCTTTATACGACGTGAATTAATAAATTAATCACTTGATCGCACTAGGTAAAAATCGTAAAAAGGAAGCCAACAGCTTATTTTTTAAAACATTTTCTTCACCGACACAGTGCTCCTGATCAAGAATATATATATATTTCATAGGGAAACGAGTAACTATAAGAATCTGTACTTTTTTTCCATCCCAGCATAGTAGGTATTTAAAAGCTTACATTTCAAAATTCTGTCTAAAAAAATGTGTTAGAAAATGTTCTATTGATTTTATTGTTCTGTTTCTGTGTGCAGTTCAATGTGCCTTTGGGCTTTAAGCCGATATGGAGCGTTGTAACATCAGCCTCGAGGAAAATGAGAACCTCCTTCGCACCATTAGGACTATCAAGAGCTTAGATAAATTATATAAGACCTATGTACCTCAAACATTGGACAGCACATTGAAAAAAGCACCCGTGTCTATACTAAAGCACAAAAAATCCGATAATAGTGACGTCAAAAATTCCCAAATGGCAATAGGTCAGATACAAGATAGCCAGGAAAAGACAGACTCCACTACTACCATACGACCTAGTGAGGACCTTTATGTCGCAACCTCTAAAAATCTACCACAAGAATATGTTGCTAACATTTTTAAAGCTACTGGTATGTCAAAACATCCGGTATCCCGCGATCAGCAGGACTTGAGAAAGTATGTATGACAAGCTTTTTTAAAAACTAAGAGGTAATTTTATATTTTTTAAAATAGACCACATGCTCGCATTTCTTCCGGGCAAATGGGTAAGCGAGGTGTGAATTCTTCATCTTCCGAGCTCTCAGCAACTGGAAGTAAGTACATGATAAAATTACGAAATTAGTTGCTTATAATTTACTTAATACAAAATATAAAAACTTTTCCTTTTTATTTTAAGGTGCTCCGGTCTGTGGCAATCCCATGAACTTCGTAACCTTCGCAGAACCGGAAATTCGAAATACGTCTTTCTTCGATCAGGGACCATCTAATACCGCCAATGAGTGTTGCTGTGAATTTTCATCTCCGCCGTCGCCGTCTTTAAAGCAGGACTCATCTGATCTGACTGTAGAATATTGTTGCTGCTCTCAAAACACTATCCAACTGGAGCAGGCTTCAAATCAGTCTGATCTAGAAGACGGTACGAATATATCGAACTACAGTGTCGTTGGGGAGCAAGAAGTCATGGATGAGGAACCGTATTCCGCGGACTCTTATGAGAAAATCGATAGGGATAAATTGCACGACGAATTCAGAGACTATGAGCAACGTTCTTTAAAAAGTCAAGAATCAGAGGATCGGGGCCTTAAAATGCCAGATCCTGAAATACTCAAGCCTCGTACGGAAAACGTAAGCACTTTCAGAGGTTTTGATGCTGTTAGTGAAAGTTCCTCTACTGCTCGCTCTGCAAGAAGAGGCTTTGAGAGACAAATATCACCAGGCTTTTCTTGTTGTGCCCCACCTCCGTCGGAGGTTTCATTTCCCTCTTCTGACCAAGTTCAAGATTGTGATCGTTCGCAGTCCAACTGTCTGGACATCGACAGCTTCCTGAGAACCCAACACCAACGACCTCCATCGATACCAAGTTGCGACTGCTGCTTCGTCAACAATATGCTGGAAGGCCAAAGTGTTTATATGACCGATTACAGACCAATTTTATCTGCGGGCAACCAGTTTAATCAGTTTTCCCAGCCAGGATACGGACCTGAGTCTTTTCACGGAGAGTGCTGTTGCCAGGCCATGCCATTAAGCGGAGGATTTGAAGCCACATATCCGTGTTCCAATTTTACGATGCCCTGGGACAGTCAGTGCCTTCCCACCACAGGATGTCCTCTTCCTGGCACTTCCAATTCCTTCTGCTATTCACCAGGCACTGAGTTCTGCGAGGGCCTATATAATGACATGGGCGGTTGTTGCTCCACTGGAATCTATGGAATTGGAGGTAACTGCCAAACGGATCCACACTGCTGCTATTATCTGAGTCATCTTAGGTCTGTTAAATTACCGACTAACAACATTTATTTTAGCTCAATAATATCCATCTTTTAGTCCCGGTTATTGCTGCTCTTTTCCATGCGGCGCTCGAATGGATGGATCCTGATGTAGATACCAAAAATGCGGATTTCAAAATATAAACCTTTAATATTATCGGAGTGTCCGAATTTCGAATTCGTTTGTAGGAATATTTGCTGTTCACAGCCCAAACAGCTCAAATACCTTGTCGAACTCCAACTTTATAACCGAGAAGACACATACGATTTCACAAAGTATAAATAAAGTTAGATAAAATAAACAACTTTCGCATTTTTTATATTTTTTATTACAAAATATTGCATTGACAATTTACTTTATTTGTTGATCAATAAGTGTTTGAAATTGAATTATTACATTTATTTAAAAGCAAAATGAAATTAAATATTTACTAAGGGATGAGTTGGTATTTAGCAAAAACACACGACACAAACAAAGATAATTGCATTACCTTAAACTTTAGGTTTATGAATTTAGAGTTTACTTTAACTATTTAAGCAATGTACTTAAGTAGGAAAATTACTGCATTTTTATTATGCATTCCAAAATATTGTAAATACGGTTTTATTTTTTGGTTTTGAACTTTTAACATTTGTTTGCGATTGCCATGCTGGGGAAATTATATGATAATTTTGATATTAGTTGTCTTAATTAATTGTGTGGAGGCTATCATTATTTAACTATGGTAAACTGTTTGTTGATATCTAGTTGGGGAGCTTTATTCATTAAATTAACATTTAACTATTTTCAATTTTATTTAAGGTTTACATTGACGGACAGAAGTTGGACAGGGCAGAAGACCACGATCGATATGAAGTGAGATCCTCATGAAAATATAGATAAAAGAAATAATCTAAAAAGAGAGTTTTCGAAAATTTGTATAAAAAAATATTTTTATGAGCTGGATAAAAAAACAATTTCAAAAAAGAAATAACTATACGTTTTTAACATATTTGATAGTTTGCACAAAATCTCTTGGACTTCTGCCTTCAACTTTAAGTAGTTTTAAGTTTTTGTCTCTTTATCCTCCTTTTGTAGATACAAATTTATTATTTTTTGGAATTACATTTGTTTTTTTTTTGTTTTGTTTTGTTGCGTGTGAATTTTCTGGTGGGGCAGACAGTTTTATAGTTAACGGTACTCACATATAGACACACACGTATGCAGGATACATATCTAACTATCTAAGATACAAGCAAAAAATTATCCTTTTAATAATGATTTGTGTATTTATGTGTTTTGAATCCTGTTGCAGGATTTGCTTCAGCTATTTAAGTAAGAGTTACACAATAATAATAATAATATTAATTATAAAGAAGAAATTAATACAAAACTAAAACTGCGACATAAAATAATAAATTTGATTTATGTATGTAGTTGTGTTTTTTGTATGCAACAAATAGCATAACTGGAATAGTCTTAGCCAACCAGAGATGGCGATTCGAGTGGTCTTTTGTTGTTTAAAGGTTTTCGGACATATCTGGCTGAATATATATATTTATATATGTAGACATGGGTGAAATTGCACTAAAACTAAATGCTACAACATTTAAAAATTGGATTTTATTATCCGTTTTCTAGTAATGAATATATATATATAGATATATTATCGAAAACTCCAGCAACTCTCCCTCAAACCAAATCGGGTTTGGCATTTCATTAAAAATACATTGAATATTTTCCCTTATATAGGTATGTATAAAAATGTTGCTAGCTGCAGTTACTAAATTTAATGTTTCGCCTTAGTGTTTTTTCTGCTTTTTCGTTTTTCTTCTTTCATAATAATAAAAGTAATCTTTTAAATAAATTTTTAGTCTTTTCATTTTCCATGTGTGCTTTAGTTTACACTATACATAAGTCAAATATGTATAAATAGCAAAATCAATATACTTTTTTTTACTGAAACTTTAGCCAACAACAACAGCAATCTGGGGCCTTGCACATGGCTTATATCAAAATATATATTGGTGTAAAAAATTTGGCAATCTTGCGCTAAGATTCAATCTCGACCAGTGGGCCTGATGTGGCTGCTATCGTGGCTTTGGTTTTTAGGCACATGTTTTCAGAGCTTAAAGTTAAATAACTTATCCGAAAAATATATGTATCTAATACTACATATGTAAAACTTGTTTTGCCAATGGCAACAGATTTCCATCTCTGCAATCAATTGTCAATGCTCTCCGCGCAAGAGCTCCATTAGCAAATTGAAATCAGCCCCATCGCGAGTCTTGATCGTCAGCATCTCCTTGCCCAGCTTTAAAAATAAAAGGATGTATTATTTATATATTATCATATTATTTACATCTCTATCTTTATTCACCTGGCACGTTCGCTGCAAATCGGGAATGCGCAGCAGAAGTTCCCCAAACTTTGATGGCGTGTCGGGATAATGGGCCAAAGTGTAAGCCTGCAAGCTCTGCAGCGCCTTTTCCTGGCACTCTCGCACCTTCACCGCCTCCTGCAACTCCGTCGTGTCTGATGGGTTAGAAATTAATCAGTAATTATGTCGGAATTTATATATATTTATATTCGTTACCTGACTGCAACAGCACAATCACCTTCATGGCAACATATTCGTAGCGATCAACGCGTAATCGCCTCAGGTGATCCGTCAGATTGAGCATCCGTTCAATGCAGGTCTATAATAAAAGATATTTTATTAAGGTTAACGAGATGAATTTAATTTACCCACAGGTAGTCATGTAACTGACAAAATTATCACATGACTTATATATATTATAATCATGTTTTTGCACAAAAAAATTAACAAACGATAAAATTGAAATGTTTAGGTAAAGTTAATATAATTTTGATATGAATAAAGATTGTTTTTATTTTATTTTACAATATTTGTTTAAAAAATCTGCACTTAATATTTAAAAAAAGTATTTTTAGAACTTTTATGAAATGAAAAATTTCAAATTTATATGTTTGAATCATAAATTTGACATTAATAATTTCGGCTTTTTATTAAAATGAAATAAGGTAGAAATTATCCTATTCCACAAAGAATTTTTTTTTAATGGTAACTAAGTTTTTTATAGATATTTAGGTAGTTAGTTTAATGATTTTTTAAACCTGCACGACTGTTTAATACACTATCAATTTATCTTTTTTTTAATTTTTTAAATAAACTTGCTGTTTTTAGTTGTAATAAATTTTTCAAAGGATTAACTAACCTGCAAGCCATTTGATTTTGCCTGCGATAGGGTTATCTTCCTGCCTTGCGACATTTTAATTTCCCCGGGGGTATCAATCGATCGAAAACAGCAGGAGAAGAGCAACAGTTCGCACCACGAATTGATGAGCAAGCAGATCTGGTCGTCGATCTGGAATGGTTTAAGATGTTAAATATTTAAAAATTAGGAAATGCAATATAATCCCTTTACGAACCGAAATATTCTTGAAGAGCGGCAAACTTTTGCACCATTTGACAATCTTGTACAGGCGGTGATCGGCGACGTTGCAGAGATGGGCGATCAGGTCGGGATTGGCGTTCTCGCCGTTGGACGAGAGACCGGCACTGGCCAGTAGTGGATTGGTCAGTTGCGGCTGTGCATGGGCACCCGAGGATGCGGCCGAGGATGAGGATGAAGAGGAGCTGCCTGATGCGAATGCCGAGAGCGGTTGATTGATGCGGGCCAGCTCGGCATCGGTGTACTGCCACAGATGCTCAACATCCATGATTTCCTAGATGAGGGGATAGAAATATGAAGTTATTAACTATACTCAAAAAATTTGTTTCCCTAAATTTTATAAAATCGCCATAAAATGAAATTTTTTCTTAATTTTCAAAATTTTCTGAGTTTTAGAAACTGTTTTCTTGAATCTAGGTAAAAAGACCATAGAAACAGAATTTTATAAACAAATTTTCTGAAATATAGAAAAAATATTTTTTTTCTTAAATCAATGGTGTTTTTTCCTAGTTTGCTCTCCAAACTGGCGCAATCGCCATTAATTTAAGAAAAAATTCACTTCAGGCCATTCTAGAATCTAGAAAGTAGCCATAAAAAACACGGTACATTTTTTCTAGATTTTAGAAAAGTATTTCTGTTTTTCAGAAATTTTTTTTTTTAATTTTAGAAAAAGCTGTAAGAACACTAAAGAAGTATCTTACCTGCAGTAGAGGTGGTACGCTTCCGGTTCGCAGACTGGACGACTTGCCCGTCTCGGCTGCTGCATCCTCCGCCTTGATGGAAGCTCCCCCCAAACTGGGACTGGCCGGCAGGGAAGTGGAGCAGGGGATGGGCACGCCCCCGAAGCCATTCAACTGATGCAGTCGATGCTGCTGCTGCTGCTGCTGCTGCTGTTGCTGCTGCTGCTGCTGACTCGCAACTGCTGCCGCTTGATCCGGACTGAGCAGCGGACTGAGCATCGAGTTGGGCAGCGTGTAGGAGCACTGGTACGTGGAGCGGCCGCCTCGCGTGCGATCCTCCCTAATCGCCTCCAGCTTCATGCCCTTCTGCAGGCACTTCTCGAACCGGCAGGCCGGGCACTTCTTGCGCGTGGAGATGCTCACCTGGCAGGGACCGCCGCGCACGCACACGTAGTTCTTGCGATTCTGGACGGTGCGCTTGAAGAAGCCCTTGCACGACTCGCAGGAGAAGATGCCGTAGTGGAAGCCGCTGATCTTGTCGCCGCAAATGGGGCAGGGTGAGTTGATAAGCTGCTGTCGCGAAATGCCAGCCGGTGAGGCGGGGTGTGAGGATCCCCCCACATCCAGTCCAGAGCTCGAGGCCGAGTCCATGCTGAGGTTCTGCGCCTCCTGACCACCTGGCACCGTCGACGAGGACGAGGCCTCCACCTTGAGTGGCCGATACAAAACACTGTGGTGATGCATGCTGCCTCCTCCGTTGCCATAGAGCGAACCCGCGGGTGGGGCATGCCGCGCCTGGATGGGCGAATGGGTGGGACTGAACTCGGAGCTGTAGCTGTAGCAGCTGCTGTGCGACGCATCGCTGTTGTTGCGGCTCAGCGAGGGCGTGTAGGGGGCGTGGCGCGACGTCAGCGGCGACTGCGAGGGCGAGCTGTGCGTGTAGACGGAATGTATGGCGGAGTCGGGACTGGGATTCGCAGGGAGCGGCAGGTGGCCACCACTGCTCGACTTGCTGCGGGCGGCCAGAAGCGGTGAGTTGTCCCCCAGTGGCGGCTCGAACTTGAGATTGATCGGATCGCTCTGCGTCGGCGCCAGCTTCATTTTCGCCGCACCATGCGAGTGGGAGTGGGAATTGGACATGGGGTAGCACTTTCCCTGCAGCAGCAGCTCGCCGGCAATGTTTTCCAGCTCCGTTTTGATCGGCTGCAGGGCGCAGGTGGGCTGTAGAGGCGTCGTGGCAGCAGCGGCGGTGGCTGCGCTCACCTCGTTCTTGATCGTCGGCTCCATTTCCATGAGCTCCTCGCCGCCATTGGCCTCGGCATCGCTCAGTTCGCCCTCCCAGGACATTGGGCGAGGTCCATTCTTGTCCGCCGCCGTCCTTCGTCGCACCTTCAGGTTCTCGATATTCGCCAGCTCCTCCTCCGAATCGGACTCCTCGTGGCTCGGCTGTCCACCGCTTAGCGGAATGCGCAGACTGCCGTGCCCGTAGTTCGCGATGACCGGCACCAGGTTTCCATTGGGCGTGGGCAGTTCGTCCAGTTCGCACTTGATATTGGTCACAGACACGTTGTGCCTGGATCCAGTGGCTCCTCCGTTGGCTCCTCCCAAAGTCGTCGTCGTCGTTGAGGCCACCGAGCTAGTGCACATGTTGACCGGCAGTTGATAGCCGCCAGTTCCTCCGATGGGAGCACCTTGCTGCTCCGCCTTGATGCTGGACATGTTTGGCATCTTGTTTCAGTTACGATTCTGTGTCGGTGTTTGCTCCCGATCACCGATCACCGATTTCTTATGGTTTAATTACTTATCAAAGACTTTTGATTCTCAGTTGTGCAATTTGTAAAAATTGGAGAGGTGTCGTTGATGCAGTTCCATTGTGTTGTAAAACTGGAAAGATCAAACGAGATGGAAAGTTAGTACAAATCGAAAGGCGCATGGTAAATTTATGGTTTTACCATGCAATACTGGTAAAATTGATATTAAATAATATTTTTTTGCTAAATTCTCCCTCGGATATGGGCATGGTAAATTTCTGGTTTTTACCATGCAATACTGGTAGAATTTATATTAAATAATATCATTTTGACGATTTCTCTATCTCGGAGATTCTTTGACTTAAAAAAAAAGTAACATGCTGTACATAAAGCTTTCCGCTATTATGCATAATAAGAGTTAAAAACCGGCTCTTGGGAATTTGTTTTTAGTTGGGGTTCTCCCACAATTCTACTTAAATCGGCTATCTTAAACCTTTTGGCCATGACTCAGTCTACTTCGGTAGCCGATCGGAATTTCGTACACCCTTAGCCGCCTAGCAACACGAACAAAGCCCTATTATAAGTTGGCGGGGAGCCGACAACAATAAGGTCAATGCCACCCGATGCCGCAGCCACCCACCCCAGCGACCTTGCCCGACCATCCATGCCACTTATGCTAATTGGGTTCGCTCGGGAGCCGGCTTCAAAGAACCGCTCACTTATAGGGGTCTTTTTGTTCATTCATTTCTTATCAGCCATGTTCACTCCCTCTCGCTCACCCGCAGTTCGCCGTCTCTTTTCTTTCTTGTCTTTCCGTCTCGCTCTGAGCGCAAACAATAGGTTAAGCAATATACAACTTATAGGCAATGGCCAGCGTCGAAAAATGTCATCGACCCTCGCGATGGAAACGACAGAGCAATGAAGCAACCGGCCCAGCGAAAGAGGCGCAAAGCCGTTGGGATGGAATTATAATAAATTTAAGGTACAATAACCCAAAGCCAGTGAACATTTGCAATGTTAGCTAGATTTAGTACACAATATTTGTGGTTAATAGGAAGTTGTGTGAAAAGTTTTGGAAAACCAAGTTGACTTAATTTAATAAACCTATGAAAATAATATTTATTTAACATTTAGGTAAAGTCACTTTTCACTTTTAAAGTAAAAAGTAATATTTTTCTACATAATATCAGAATTAATTTCACAATACTTAGAAATTACATTTTATGGAGCAATCAAAAACGAGGACGGAAGCTAACTTCAGCAAGCCGAGGTTTTAATACCCTTGCAGATTTTACGAATGAAAACTTGACTAGCATAGCAACATGAATTAATAAACAACAAAATATTTTATAATTGAAAAAAATAAAATTTTATCCCTATTGTTCCTATGGGAGCTATAGGATATAGACGCCCGATCGGCACGCGCTTTTACCCTAATAAAGGTATGCATAAAATAATAAGATTTGAAAAGTCTCATGTCAATAGCTTATATTCTGCCCGAAATATCCTGAAAAACGTCAAATTTTGACCGATTTCACCCTATTGTTCCTATGGGAGCTATAAGATATAGACGTCCGATCGGCACGCGCTTTACCCTGATCAAGGTATGCGTAAAATAATAAGATTCATGTCAAAAGCTCTTACACTGAGCGAAATATCTTAATTTTGTGAAAGCTATATCCGATTGTTCTTATGGGAGCTATAGGATATAGACGTCCGATCGGGTCGGTTTTCAAACTTGATCTGCGTACACATTAGGGTGGGTCGATTTGGGACCCCAAAAATCGTATAGGGGGAACGAAATATCAATTTCAAATTTTTATTTTAAATTTAGTAATACATCTGAGCTGACTACTATGATATTTTCCTCAAAAAAAGATGTATTTTTCAATCGCGTTTGGGGGGGGGGGGTCAAGCATCATTTTAGACCATAAGTATGTTCGCCAATATGGCTTAGAATCCTTTAAAGATTACGTTCCCCTATACGATTCATCACTTTTTTCGGCCCCATACAAATCGACCCGCCCTAGTACACATGTTTTAGGACGACTGTGAAAGTTTTAAGTTGCTAGCTAACTGAGCTTGCAAACGGTATTGAAACAGGCGGACAGACGGAAGGACGGACAGACGGACATGGCTATATCGACTTCTCTATTGATCCTGATCAAGAATATATATACTTTATGGGGTCGGGTCACTGCGTTACAAACTTCTGACCAAAATTATAATACCCTCTGTAAGGGTATAAAAATGGGTACAATCAAACAAAAACAACTAGTGACGATCGCACGCTGCAAAAAGAAGAAATGTCAGCGTAACAATTTTAGAATATGAATTTATATGGTCGAATATATAATAATAATATTATATATTTTATCAGTCAAAACAGTTTACATCCAAACTTTTTTATGTTGATGGTGCGATCGTCACTCGAATTCTGGCCCCGGTATGATTCACAGTGTAGGCAAAAAGATTTGCTATTTAATTAGGATAACTACCATGCTTTTTTTTGTGTGTGTAAAAAAAATTTGAGTTATGAAAACTGGAAATACCATTCAGATGGGTACAATAATTTGTAACAGTGCAGTGCGTACCAGGTACATATGTATGAATGTATGTGTTGGACATTTGTAATGAACCCATTCGACCCCGAAGAAAATTCGTTGTACTTAGCGGAGACAACAACCCACGCAATGCACCAAGACAAAACCGAGACAGCGACAGAGACGGATAATCAGAAAAAGCCAGCCGGGAATACGAGAGAGAGAGAGCGAGAACGAGTAAGAAGCGACGCGCAGAACAAGCAAAGGACGACCTTCAAATAATGTTGAATTTTGTACGCAAACGACCTTGCATAAAACAACAACAACGACGACGACGACGGCGGCGAAGCAAACCACGAAGAAGAAGACGCAGCAACGAAGCCAGCTCCACACACCCGCACTCAGAGAACCACACACACACACAGGGTAGTACGCACACATGCGCCGGCGGCAGACAAAAGAGGGGACCGAAAGATAGAAACCGAGAGAGCGCCAGTTTTTTTCGTTGGGGTTTGGGGTTAGAGAAAGAACTGAAATACTCTTGATGGCGATGTGTCGCCTGTGTGTATGTGAGAAATTGGCACAAAAGAAAATAAACAAAATTGGTTGTACGAGTATATGGAAAAAGAAAGAGGCACAAGATTGACTCTCAGCAAAGGTTGCGTGGGTGCGCCGCCGAAGGAAGAGAGCAATGGGGGGAGGGAGTATAGAGGGGGAGGCAGAGAATGAGTGGTCAGCATTTGGATTTTGCTGATTTTCAGGGAAGTACTCATGTGCATACATATGGATGGATATGGACCTGGGCTTTTGTGGTTCTGAGGGCACTTAAGGACCGACAAATGCAGCCAACCGAGTTTCGATGATGGCTTCTCTTTTCGGCTTCTCGGTTTCCGGTTTTTGGCTTTTCTTGTTGTTGTATACTGGGGATAGCACTATACGGGTTGGGTTGTTGTTGTTGCTGAGAGGCAAAGAGCACTTTCAGTAGGAAGTTTTGTTACAGTTGGAGTTGGATGTTTAGGTGGGGTAGCCGATTGATGATGGAATGCAAATTGAAATGAATAGATGCCATCACGAAGCACTGGTCATCGAAAGCTTTGATAGAGTATATGTTTGATTTTAAATACATATGTCGAGTTCTGAAGACTCTGATATGGAGATTTAACACTTTTGCAGATATTCGGTTTAAACTAAAAACAAGAAAGGAAGCTACCTTCGGCCAGCCGAAGCTTATATACCCTTGCAGATAAAGTAATGCTTACTCGGTGCAGTTCCAGGGATTTCAGATTCAGCGTTTCTATTTATTAAATTTTGTTTTTAAGTAGTCAAGAATCAAAACGCCTACTTCCTACAAACTTACAATGAATTTTCTTATATTTGTTTGAATATTCCTATGAGAGCCTTAAGATATAGTGGTCCGATCCGGCTCGCTCCGACATATGTACTACCTGCAATAGAAAGAAGACTTTCGGGAAAGTTTCATCGCGATAGCTTTAAAACTGAGAGACTAGTTCGCATAGAAACGGACAGACGGACATGGCTAGATAGACTCGGCTATTGGTGCTGATCAAGAATATATATACTTTATGTGGTCGGAAACGTCTCCTTCACTGCGTTGCAAACATCTGACTAAAATTATAATACCCTCTACAAGGGTATAATAAACAAATATTTGATGTATTAACTAAGCCACATGGAGAAAATATCTTAAAAAACAAGGACATGGTGCAAATGTGAAAATCCGGAATACTCTAACCTTTACAATTTCTGAAAGTCCCTTAACCTGTTCTGAAAAATTAGTATTTAAATGAGATTTGTAAAAATTCTACAAAATTTTTTTGTTCAAATACCACATTATTTTATGTTAAAATTTTGAGGAAAGTTTTCGTTAGGCCGCTGCAATCAGCAATCAATATACTTAAAAGAAAACTTATTTTAGAAAATTCCTTAACAGACAAGGAAATCTTACCAATGTTACAGACAGGTAAATTTGTTTATATCAGATCATTTCTATAAACGTCCGATCTTTACGGTTTTCAAGCCACTGAAATAATGCTCAATAACCAAGTACGGCATTCCGGAACACAGAAAGTCGAGTTCAGCTCGGTTCAGAAAGTTGTATGGGGCAAGTTGAAGGCACGACAAGTCTGCTGCCCGTACACCACCCACCCATCAGCGCAGCAGGGTTAGGCTCCATGGCCCATTCCGCGTTCGCTGTCTGTCGTTTATCGATTTTTTTTATCTGGCTCTGACTTTGACAGCCCATTGAAAGCCACTTCAGCTACACGGAAAACTGCCCTCAGAGCTGTGGCAAAGGGGTTGACCTTCAAGTTTTTCTCAATTTTTCTACTCGATTTTTTTTTCGTTTCTTTCTGTTTTTGCGGAAATGTGCTCCCTTAAAATGAATATGGCGTTCTCGTCGGTCCTGTTCATGTTGGTTCGGGGTTTGTGTGGGTGGAAATTCATGTCAATAATATTCATGACATTGACATGCATTGTGGGGCACAAGCTTCGAGGGTAGAACTCCCCGTTCACCCTCTCCCTTGCGACCTCTTGCCCTTCCAGTGGGGTGGATAATATCGCTGTTGACGTC